CAGGCCAAAGCTGTCCAGGGTTCGCAGAACGAGGTGGCCGTGGGGGCAACACGGAGAGATTTCACAGCCCCGTACTGTCCTAGGCGGTAATGAGAGGTGACAGAGACCTCTCAGGTTTGAAACTTTTCTAAACAACTGTTGAAACTTCCCTTGGCCCAGAATGGCTGCTGGTGGAACAAAATGTACCATAGTTTCAGTGGGAAACAAACGATTCTCTGTGGATTGACCACAGTAAACTCAGGATTAATGAGCAAATTCATTGGGGAGTCCTATTTGTTGCACTGAGGAAGCTGCAATCTAATTGTCCTCTCCACTGCCCATTGCTCTTACATTGCTATCCGTTTGCTGAAGGCGAAATACGTTCGTTACTTCTCGATGAACAGAAGTGGGCCAGCGTGTCCTGCTCCTCTGCCCTCCTCCTGATAGCTGCAGCCCAGCTGATCACTGACTTCTTGTATTGGGGTGTGTGTGTGTGTGTGTGTGTGTGTGTGTGTGTACATGAGTGTGGTGTGTGTACATGAGTGTGGTGTGTGTACATGCGTGTGGGGGGGTGCATGTGTGTGTGTACATGAGTATGGTGTGTATACATGCGTGTGGGGGGGTGCATGTGTGTGTGTACATGAGTATGGTGTGTATACATGCATGTGTGTGTGTGGGTGCATGTGTGTCTGTGTATGTATTCTTTCCATTGCATTTTTTTTTTTAACCCAATAGAAATTTATTTTCTCTCGGGTCTGGAGGCTAGAAGTCCAAGATCAAGTATTGGCAGGGTTGGTTTCTCCCGAGATCTCTGTCCTTGGTGTGCACACGGCTGCCTCTCTCTATGTCCTCACGTGGTCATCCCTCGGTCTGCGCATTGTTTGTGTCTGAATTTCCGCTTCTTATGGGACACCAGTCATATGGCATTGGGGCCCATCCATGTGGCCTCATTTTAGCTTCATCGCCTCTTTAAAGACCGTATCTCCAAATACGCATACAGATCACGCCCTGATCTCCCTGTTGCCTTTTAACATGGAGCTTCCTAACTTGGAAGTGCTGTGTCTCGTGCTGCTTTCCAGGGCTGGCTGCACGTCGGGTAGGGCTGCCCTGCCTCATGCAAGCCTGTCACTTGGAAAGCTGCATGATAAATTAGAAGCAGGGGGAGGGGAGGAAGGATGGCTCACTCTGAAGAAAGTGCTGTTGGTTTTTGAAGCTTTACCTAGAGACTTGTGAAATCATTCATTCCAGCAAGTTCTCCTGGGGCATTTAAAACATTATTGGGTTCAGGCAGTTTTATTGGAAAGCATGTACTGCTTAATGCGGGGAAAGCCTGCGTGATTGCTTCTTGCATGCAGCTCCTGTGGGGACCAGCGCTGTCTGTTGGGGGACTGAGCCCTGTTAGCACTCTCTGGGTTATCCACCCAAATACAGACCTGTCAGATCCTACAAATCACCACCCTCTTTCTGAAGCCCCTTCCACCTTCTGCCCACAGATGGGTCCCCAAGGGGACTACTGCTCAGGCGTGTGTCTCCTGCCGCCGTGAGCTCTGACCCCAGCTCACGGCAACCATTGTGAGCACGCAAACAACAGGGAGTTAATTTGCCACCCAAGCGGTCTGTCCAAATTATCTTTTGTCCCTGACAATTTATGCTAAACGGGCCTTTCGTTTTTCATTAGAGAAGTGATTACTGTTGTTCTTCAATTTGGCATTTCCTGGGAGATGCGTGCATTTAAAGCTAATATTGGAACAGCAGGTTTCGACTGAAAACATTTACCTTTTCTTTGTAGGCAACCTGTCAGTGTTGGGGGAAATAGATGCTTCATTAGAATCTAAATACATCGTGCTTTCGTTCCCATGCATCAGTCACTCCTCTTCCGAGATGAAAGCACTGGGAGAGGTGTCAGGAAACCATTCTGCTCGTATATTTATTTCTACTTACTTTTTGATGTCTCCTGGCATCTCTTTCTTGTCTCAAAATAGGCATTCTAACACCTATAACTTGCATGGAGAAGTCCTAGAATCGTGGTTTAGATTTCCCCACTAGACCATCAGGGCTGATTTGGGCTGCCTGTGTCGCTGGCAGCATCTCTTGGCCTAGAGAGCCCACTGCTGAAAGTGAGGGCGTAAAAAACGCAGCTGCCATTTCTCACACAGTGCCGGGGTCAGGGCCCCAACATATATCTAATCCTCTCAACTACCCCACCCGGGAAATACTGTGGAAAACCAGGGCTCCTAGAGTCCGAGACCCTGGCCCAAGGCCACGCAGAGCCAAGCCTGTACCCCGGATTCTGTCCCCTGTCCTCTTCCCCCCACTCTGAGCTGCTCTTTATCTTGCCAGGGGCCACCCCACACCACTAACGTCCCATACTGGCTAGGACCCCTCTCGTGGCTGAGAGGGCACCTGGGCCCAGTGTCCCTGACACAGCCCGGGAACAGAAGACATGGGCACCCAGACCAGTGACTGGGGAAACAGCAGTCAGGCCCCCTGGACTTCTCTCGTCCACCGAGAAATCAGAAAGAAGGAACTACATGAGCTGATGGAACAGAGGTGGCTCTGCCTCCCCATAAAAGGAAGAAAGGAACCCCACAATAGATGCCAATAAGCCAGAAAAGATTTGGCTCTCACTGTAACTCCCTGATCTTCAGAGGAAAATTGGTTCTTACGCTACTGAAATTAAGAAACTCTGTTTATCCAAAAACTCTGTAAACAATGTCAGAAGACGGACAGCACGTCAAGTGGGAGAAGATACTTATAAATGTGTAACCAACAAAGCATTAATTCCCAGTACAGGCATTAATTCCCAGTACAGTACATTAATTCCCAGTGCATACAATTGCACTAAAATGCCAGTTTTTAAAGGCAATAGAGAGGTCAATCCAAAATTCTGAGCAGTTTCCTCTGTGACGGGGCAGGGGTGGGTAGTGGCCCCAGCGTGTCACGCTTGTGTTTGCACTGGGTAGAGGGTTCATGGACACCCATTGCATGTTAAAGGCTCTCTAACATGCATGTGACGTACCATCCTTCATGCATATCAAATAGTGTGTGAAAAAAAAAAAGTAAACATTATCGGTTATGCGCAACCCCTAGAAGTAGGTGCCATCACTCCAATTTTTATAGATGGGGAGACAGGATCTGTGGGATCAGGCTAGCTGCTAACACACACACACTGAGAGCTTATTGAGTGCCATGCACGTCACACAAATCACCTTTTTAGTTTAGAAGGTAGCTGTCTGTGAGCCATGAAACAGGCCCTCACGGGGGAACCTAATGGGCTGGCACCTTGATCTTGGACTTCCAGCCTTGAGGACTGTGAGAAGTAAATAGTCTGTTGTTTAAGCTCCTGGCCTGTGGCATTTTGCTACGACAGCCCGAGCTGACTACGACAGGACCTCACCTGCCTGGTTGCAGGATGGCCAGGGAAGTGACCATTGTTCAGACACCGACATGGTGCCACATGGCAAGGGGATGTGGACGCCTCGTCACCTGCCCCCACTGAGAGGTCCATGGAGCAGAGCTGTCACTCAGTGTCCCTTGGAGCCAGCAGGAGGGAGATGGGACATGACAGCAGAGCAGCCCCACTACTAGAGTTTTAAATAGATGGGATGGGAGGATTTAATTTACATAAAACGGTGGTCCCTGAGTGTCTGGGAAGATGTCGCCCCACAGAATCTTTGTGTGGTTATTCCTGGTTGGCCCAGACCATCTCTTTGAACCTCGGTGAAAAGTAACCATTTTGTGTTTTTAAATCAGTTATATCCAGAGTTTCTGTTTTTTGAGTACCCACTATATGCCAATGTAGATTCTGGGTTATACAATGAATAGATCCAGTCCAGTCAAGAGGAGGTGGGAGGCCCTCTGCTTGGTGAGGTGAACCCCAGAAAGAGTGCTGCCTGGGCTGGGGGTGAACTCCAGAAAGAATGCTTCATGTCTTTGAAGAGCCTTTAGTGGCTCAGGGGACTTAGAGAGAAATTATATGCTGTGGGCAAAGAAAAATACTAGAAAAAAGTAACCCAGATATTATCACTAGTTATTTCTCTGTTTCCCAAACTTTCTGCAAAGAGCATATATTAGTCTTATAATCAGAAAAAGTCCCATTTTCTGTTATGTCTTAAATAGCTTTAAGATTTAAAATTCGTTTTAATGAAAGGCATGGCCACCACACTCACAAGACTGGGGCCTGATCTAAGAGGGGCCTCTGACTGGGGTAGCTGTGGGTGCTGAGCAACCACCTCGAGTGCTGCTCCAGGGTGGGCAGGCAGACGTCCTCTGAGCCTCAGAGAAGTCCAACTGTACATATCTACTAGTGTCCAAGTCGGACGTGCGGTGGCTGTCATGGCCCAGTCATGTGCCAACATCGCTGAGCCCCCCGCTCCGGGTGAGGCCAGGCGGTTGGGGGACCACATTTGCTGGATGCAAAATGCAATTGGTGATGGAGATTGGCGCTGGGCACGGGGCCAAGGATGAGAGACCCCTGGCCAGGGAGGCAGGCGCTGGGAGAGGCCTGTGGGAGCCCATTCACCCCCTCTCCTTTTGGGGTGGTCCTGGGAAGCTGTACTCCCCACCTCCTCAAGACCCCTCCCGCACAGCATGGGACTTAAACACATGGTATGACAGCCCCTCCTCAACAGGCTGGGGTGGCCTTCTGTCTCCTAATTATAAATCAGGTGGGGTCATTTATTTTTAAAGAGAAATAAATATAAACTATTAACAGCCAGGCAAGTTGAAAACAACTCCAAGTTCTATCATAGAAATGACCATTTTAAAATACAGCGTGACGTTGTGGTACTGAGGGGACTGTACCTTTGTTTCTTTGTTGCCGTCTTGCCTTGGGGACACAACCATGTGGCCGAGGGTGTCATTTTAATTTTTTCCCACTGACCAGCACAGAATGGGAAGAAAGGTTTCCAAAGTGATGGACAGACTCCCAAGCTGTTTGGGGCTCTCTGGCCTGTCCCTGTGCCTGGGGTGACAGTCCCTGAGGACAAGTGCACACTTGGAGCCTCCTCCTGTCCTTTCAGGCATCCGTATGCTGGATGGCGACGTGACTGACGTGGTGGAGGCCAAGTCACTGGGCATCAGACCCAACTACATCGACATCTACAGCGCGAGCTGGGGGCCGGACGACGACGGGAAGACGGTGGACGGGCCCGGCAGACTGGCCAAGCAGGCCTTCGAGTATGGCATTAAAAAGGTGGCGTGACCCAGGGCTGCGGTGGAGCTCATGGGGCGGAAAGGGGGGGAGGGGGAACAGTAGAAAAAGATTAACAATTAAAAATCAGAGTGACAAAGGCCAGAGCCCCGAAATGGGACCAGGAAGGTCTTGCTGTGCCAGGCCATAGTGAGGGAGAAGCCATTTGGGGGCTCAGGGGAGTGACCGGTTCAGAGCGGAAGTATTTCACCTCCTTACGGAGTAGCTGGTGCAGCGAGCGCTAGCTGGTCATCTGCCAGGCCCGGACCTCCGCGCCTTGGAGCCTGACTGCCCCCTGCTAACGGGTGGGTGCAGGTGGGTAGCATGGGTCTCAGTCCGACCACCTGGCCTGGTATTTGGACCGTGCAGTGGAAGAGGTGTCCTGCCCTCTGGCCAGCTGCCTGCGGAAGAACTCAGCCCCGGAACTTCCTGCGCCCCCCGGAGCAGGAAGCCTCAGTCCTGTTGATCTCCCTGCCTGCATGCAGCCCAAAGCATTTAGAATTTGTTGGGTGGAGCCACACCTGGGACTAAACATCCCAGGGCTGCTTCTCCCCGACTGGCTGAGGGGACACAGAGGAGGCTGGCCGACTCCTCCCCGGAGGCCCGTCCCCAGTCACTCTGCGATCATGCGTTCTGGGTCCTTATGAATCAGAAAGGCTAGGGGCGGGGCAGAGGGAACTGGAGATGACCCAGCTATAACAAGCAGGGTGGCAAAGCGGATTTCTGGGCGAGGACAGATTCTTGGAGCCGACAGCTCTGGTCAGTGTCCAGGTGACCCTGAGTGACCCAAAAGCCCCAGGCCAGAGCATAAGGTGTGGCCCTGTGATGCTGGCAGGGTTGAGCAGGAAACCCAGGCACCCCTGGGGAGCATTTATACTCCATGACAGACAGGACAGTGGGGCCAGGGGTGGGGGGTGGGGGGAGCCCACTTTATTATTTATATACTGTAAAACTTCTCTTAGCAGTTCTTGTTGTAACCCATGCACCCTGATTAAGATGTAGTTGATAAATAGTTAGTGAATGAATCAAATAGTACAGGAGGGTTAGGGAGGGTTAGATTGAAAGCAGCCTTTCTTTATCCCCCGCTCTCCACTGCTCATCCCCCAGTCCTGCCCCACAGACAAGCAATTTTTTTTTAACCCGGTTAGTGGTTTTATTTTTTCTAAACAATATGATTTGATTGCTTTTCTGGGTGTATTGACTTTGGTTATTTTCTATTAATTTCCTTTGATGGGGGTTGAGTATCTCTTAGAATGCCCCCGCCCTGGCCACCCCCCATACACACACACTATGGAATGCCTGTGTGTGTCCCCATGTCCTCACATTTCCCGCACCCCCGTTATGGATGTGCTGTTGCTCCCCAGGTATGAGGCGGAGGCCTCCCCCTATACTGCCTCTCTCCCCAACTGCTCGGTGCTTGAATGTCTGAGAAGCTAGTGACACACAGACACATAGCCCTTCCATAGCACTCGGCCTCACACTCATGCTGGGGGCGCCGGACCGCTCCCTTTGTGCCCACAACTCCAAGGAAATGCAAAGCCTGATTCAGGCAGGTTGCTGAACACCTGAGCCATGCCAGGTGCTGGCCCGGGCATCCTGGAAGGTTCAGGCATGACCAAGTCAGCCACTGCCCACAGGGGCTGCTGAATTAAAAACACCTCATCTTCCCCGTCCTCAGCTCGCACCATCAACTATATCACTTGGATGTCAGTCTGGATGACTAGTGAAACCTCCTAAAAGTTAAGTGTAATTGGAGCTGTAAGTTAGAGATTGCATCTTCTGCATAGAAGATACTGCTTTGGGTGGTGTAAACCTGAGCGTCTTGTCATTTCTGTGAGATGATGTCTAAAGATTTGAGATCTCAGGATGGGGCCCCCTATTTCCGGGAGACGTAATGATTCTTTCAAAGGATTGTTGGTGTTCTCAGCTTCGCTTAGGTTTGGACAGACGCAGCCCAGGCAGGGCTTTGGAAAGTCTGGGGCTCAGAAAGGGGCTCTTGGCACCCGGAAATCTGGGCAGCATTGGCTTCTTCAAGCTGTCAGAGGGGTGGGCACGTTGCAGAGGGGCCCATGTGGTTCCATGTCATTGTTGTCACCATTTTTTGAATTACTGATGTCATTTCATTTCTTACTTTCTTTTTTTTCCCCCCTAAAGTAAATTATGTCATTTAAGGAGCCTTAAATTGCAGTTGTCTGAAGATGTCACGGAAAATCCTCCTGGAAATTTGATGGTCTCAAACCGAACCACCTCCCCCATCTGTTTTTCCACCTCGATGCCCCCTTTGTCACCTGTAATCTTTCTTTGTTAAGATCGGACTTCATCTTAGGTAGATGATGTGGGTTGGTGGTGGGAGAGACTTCAGAAGCCATAAGTTAGCAGAAAGATCTGTTTAATGTTGGTCCTTATGAAACCTCACTCTTCAGGTATCGTCCGGAAGGGGAGAGTAGCGTCGCTGTGGCTGAAAACGCTGCCTTGTGCAGAGACTGGGCGTTTGCTAAGCCTCAGCATCAGGGCCTCTGAGTTCAGGGGTGAACTCGCCGCTTCCCAGGCAAGACACTGAAATGTGTTCTGATCTGGTTGAGGTTGTGGCTTTCCTAAACAGAAATGCAAGTGCACGGCTAGGGTTGAAATGTCCCCTAGAGTGTCCATCCTGTGGCTTCCTATGACCTTCAGATGCGATTGTCAAAGGCAGCAGAAATATCTCGTTACACCTCAGATCTGGGTGTTCCCTCTTCCTGATCCCCAGGTTCTCCTGGCAGGAAACTATTTTCAGAGCAAAGAGGCTTTTGCTGCCTTGACACCTGTGAGGATGGATTGGTCCAGTAGTGAGGTGGAAAGATGCATTGTAGCCCCTTGATATTCAAAGTGGGTGCAGAGGCACCAGCCCTGGCATCACCCAGGAGCTGGTTAGAAATGTAGAACCTCTTCCCACCTAGACCTGCTGAGGTTGTCTCCAGTGTAACAGCACCCCCAGTGGTCTGTGTGTACGCTCAAAAAAGAGGGGTGCTGTTCGAGGCCTTCTCTGTGCTGCTGGGGCCACCAGGTTGCAAGTACCACTTTGCAAAATGACAACCTTTTACAAATAATTTAGAGTGGGGTGAGGAGTTAGGGGGTGACCGTGCCTTAGAGATGGTTGTCGCAGAATCAAGATAGACTCTGATGGGTTAAATGCCTTCTCATTTGGATTTTAGTTGCCATGTACGAGCATCTGATAAATGTTCTCCAATGGGGAATTATATGCCCAGACACACTCATTTCCATAGAGCTTTGTGCCTTCCTTCCAGAAGGCTGATTTTTTTTGCTACATGGGAGCAACCTTTCTGTCATTCTCTTGGCCATTTGGACAGGCCCACCTTGGAGATACGGAAAGCAGGCTGAGTGAGGCAGCTTTTAGCAGCGGGGCTGTGTGAGGCTCCGTTGAGAGCCTCAGGTTGGAACTGGAGCAAATGTCAGATTGTGACAAGTAGGCACAAAGGACGGGGAGCTGTGGTCACTTAGCCTACAAAATGGAGTGGCCTGGGGCTTCCACAGCAGGCAGGTCCATTCTGTTCTGAGTGCACTTGAACTCTAAGGCTGAGTGCGACGTGTCCTGTCAGCAGTAGGGCTTCAGTTTGACACGAAGGGGATTGCAGAATTTGGTTGAAAGTTTTCTTTAAATTGGCCACTTTGGGGCATAAGTGTCAATTTCCTCCTGCATGTTTGGAAAGCAGGGTCCTTGGCAAGGATGTGAAGTTACCAGCCCCGTGGGTCCCGTTTCCTGTGGAGACGCGTGTTGGCAGCGCTCTCTGGGGCTGGCCGAGCACCACCGACAGGTCCGGCCACCTGACCGACCGGAATGGGCCAGTCCCTTCTGGGGTGAGCTGATCTGTGCTGGTGCTTGTGGCCGGGATGAGCCCTTGATTTGGTCAGAAATATTGATCCTGTGGGTGTGGGATAGAAGAGAGCTGCAGGAAGTTGCCTGGACCCGCTGCTCTTTCAAAGGCTTGCTTTCATTGATATGTTCTTGAAAATGAAACTACACACAAATACAGCCACTGACCTCGGCTGGCATTGACGACCTGACCACCTCAATGCTTCCTCACGGTGGGGACAGCAGCCGCGCTCAGAGGACAGCACGAGCAGCCATGGGCATTCCATCACCATTTTTACCCATTTGGTCTCACCCCAAGTTCATGGTCTCATTCCACAGTCAGAAGCGCTCTATGACAATCAAAACAGAGCCCACAAAGCCATGTCTGTAGTGGCATCCCATAGGTCTGAACACACCTGTCTTAGCCCCTTGGAAGGGATGTCAGAAGGAGGGGTTCCAGGCCGCGCGTGAGAACCCCCCCCACTACGAGGCTCTGGCTGCCAGGCTGACTCCCTGTCCCCGTCCTTCTCCTCCAGGGTCGGCAGGGCCTGGGCTCTATTTTCGTCTGGGCATCTGGGAATGGCGGGAGAGAGGGGGACCACTGCTCGTGTGATGGCTACACCAACAGCATCTACACCATCTCCGTCAGCAGCACCACCGAGAACGGCTACAAGCCATGGTACCTGGAGGAATGCGCGTCCACCCTGGCCACCACCTACAGCAGCGGGGCATTCTACGAGCGGAAAATCGTGAGTGGCCGGCCAGGTGGACAGCCTGGGATGCACACCTTCTACCCTTTGGGGATAACTTCCTTTTTCCTTGAACAAAAAGATAAGCCAGTTTGTCCCAAGTCCCAGGGCACCACCCTCACACCCATCAGCGAACGAGTTGTGCCTTGGGGTACAACCCAGTCCCTTGGCAGCCTTCCTCAGACCCTGCCTTTCTAATTTTTGCACAAAATGCCAATTAAAACCCTCTCTGGGCTTTGGAGATCTAAAAATACCCTTTAAGAATGGGGTGCATTGTCAGCACGCCGTCTCCTTTTAGCTCTCTCAAATTCTGTGGTCACATCTCTTGGGATCTAACTGACCCGTTCAGTTTCAACGTGCAATATCGAGTGAGAGAAAGTCTTGGTTTTATACTGAAAGATTTCAGAAACCCAAGTGCTCTTCTGGGCGTTCCCTTCCTAACAGAAGGACTTTTCCTGGATACTCTGCACTGAGCAGCGGTTTCTATCTGTTACACTCCTTTCAGCGAACATAAGTGAGATCTGTCTCCGATAAAGCAACTGTTTGAGTTTAGTATATGGGTGGAGTTTGTGCTTCCTCCTTCCCTCCATGCTTTCTTACTTTAAAACTAAGTTTAATTTGTGAAGTTGAAATTAATCGCAGAGTTCAAATGCACAGTCATTCATCTGGGGTTTGGACATTTTGAAAATGAGACCGTGGAGCTGGCCCGACATGGCTTACTTTTCAAGCTCACTAGCATCTTTTCATTTCCCCTGCCGCTTGTCCACCTCTTTAGAAATTATTTGCAGATTTATTTTTACATGTTTCCTTGGGAGCATACAGGCTTCCTGTTCTCCCCGTTCTCTGCACCGGCTGAAAGGTCAGCCACGATCCTTCCACCGCCAGCCTGGCAGCGGCCTGGCCGGTTCGCGAAGGTATTCATTTAAGTTGTTATTTTTCTTTCCCACTGGAGTACGCGCCCCTGGGACGGGCAGCCGAGGCTCTGAATGGCGTCCTGTTCGAGCGCACTTGAACACAGATTGGCTGGAGTCTTGTGAAACAGATGCCTATGCCGAATCCTGACGGAGGCCTGCTGGAGGCAGGGGTGCGAGGCAGAGACCGTGTCATCTGACACTTTGTCCCAGGGGCTTCGTGCTGGGAGGACAGTGTTTCCCACCCCTGGGAGCAGGGCTTGCAGCTTTATCTGCTCAGTCAGACTGTGTGCGTGCGTGCGTGTGTGTGTGTGTGTGTGTGTGTGTGTGTGTGTGTGCGCGTGGACACGCCTTAGCTACATAATGCCTTCATTCCTCTTCCTTTTTTTAAAAAAAATCTCTTCTCTGAGCACTAATGTGTGAGTAAGGTGTGGGGGGAGAAGGCTAGAAGAGCAAACCTACTCTCTTCAACTTGCTATTCCGGAATTCTTCTCTGACAGGTGTGGATGGCACTTTTTTTAAAATTTTATTTTAGGTCAACTAGGGCCAAGTTTTTGCTCTGAGTCCCCGTAGAGATCCTGCCAGGGGATAAGTGACTGCTCTGGACGGCTGGCAGCGTTCAGGCAGGTGTCTGATGGAAGTCGGGGCTCTGTCCCCTCCATTCTGTCCGTTCTACTCTGTCTGTCTGACAAGTGTCCAGCAGCTTCGCCTGGACTGAGGCACGGTCCCTGCTGGGACGTGAGTCCTGATAAAAGGATTGACACCTAAAACGAGCATCTCTCACTCGTTCACTCCTGGGCTCGTCCGCTTATTCACTGAACACAAGCTGTGTTCCGTGCGTGACATTCAGCCTCAGGGGAGGGGCTGCCCATCTTGGCTCAGCCATCCTGCCTGCGGGGAGGCCCCTCTGTTCATGTCCCAGTAACCCTTTCTCTGCAGCTGGAGAGCCAGCCATGGGCCTCACCTGCCTTGGGGAGCTTGGCCTCCTCCCCAAACACCCTCAGTTTCCCTCACTGGCCACCAATTACTGAGTGCAAGTATGTGCCAGGTGCCAGCTGTGACCTTCACGGAAGCTTTGGAAAGGACATGTCCTTATGCCCACTTGCCGATGAAGATCACGGGGTCAGAGAGGTTGCATTCTCGTCCCTGCTGCATTGCTCTCAGCCGCCCTCCCCAACATCAAAGTAACTCAGTCTTGCTGATCAGGAGGGAGAAAAGCTGGTCCCTGTCAGCGTTCCTGTCGGGTCCCCCTGTGTGTGTGATCGTCCAATCAGGTGAAGGAGGATGGGTGTCTGGAAGGGGACCTGCAGTGTTCCCACTGGGGAAATTCATTCTCGGCTCTGCAGATGGGCTACTGGAGCCGTGCACCTGGCGGGTGTATTAGTTTCCCGTTACTCTCATGACACGTTATCCCAAACAAAGCAGCTTAAAGAACACAGATGTACTCTCACAGTTCTGTAGGTCAGAAGTGCAGCGGCCCCGGCTGGGTCTGTATTCCGAGCCCCTGGAGGCCGAAACTCAGGTGTCGGCGGCTGCGTTCCTTCCCAGGGGCCCCGGGAGGAACTGTTTCTTGCTCATTCCAGGCGTTGGCATGACTGCGTTCCTTGTGGTCATAGGACTGAGCTCCTGTTTCCTCGTGGGTGTCTGCCACGGCCGTTCTCAGCTGCTGTGGGCTGCCCACGTTCCTTGGCTTGTGTTCCCCAGCTCCCTCTTCAAAGCCAGCAGCGATAGGTCCAGTCCCTCTTCTGCTTTATGTCTAAACAGGCTTTCTGTCCCTTTCCACCGGATAATCCAGGGTGCTCTCCCTGATTTCAGGCTGGTTAGCAACCTTAATTCCACCTGCAAAATGCATGGGGGAAACACTAGGTAGCAAAACCCCGTCTTGCACGGCAGGTATCGTGCAACTGAGCCCACACCTACTGTCCAGATAGCGGCTGCTTCTCCATCTAGGTCAAAGGAAGGTATCCCTCAGGCCGTGTGATGGTGAGGTGCACTGTCAGCACCCCCCAGCCTGGCATTGGCCCCTCAGCTGGCAGAGCCAGCCTCACCTTCCCAGGGAGCATGGCTGGCTTCCTGGCGACACACAGTGGGCCCTGCAAGGTCGCAATTGCTGGAGGATGCACTGGGTACTCTGAGACACTGTCACCTATCTGAGGAGGCTGTCCTGGTACAGAATGGCCCATGACCTTCTGACGATAGGTAGACATGCTCGCTGGGCCACCTGGGTACCTCCACGTGTTTCCAGTAGCTCTGAAGTCAGGCGGGGACTCAGGGTCGTCACTATGGGCCCTGACAGGTGGGCTTGCCTGGGGACTCTGCCAGGGAGGCCCCTCCATTTCACTTTGTCTTACCTTCGAGTCTCAACACACGCATCGCCTGCCCTCTGCCTTGTCTCCCTGTCCTTGTCCTGTGATTAGCTCATCCCTGCAGTGGGTCCATTACATGTAAGAGCAGAGCAGCTTAGCAGGAGTACCGGACACGGCGGAAAACTTGGTGCCAAGATGTGTCCGCCTAGCGCCCTCTCCGTCCCTGGGACCCAGGGCCACACCTGCCCAGGAACAGCATTCTTAGCCTCTGACTTCTCCTGAGGGCTGACATCACTTCTTGCCACCCTGTCTCCAGGTCACCACGGATCTGCGTCAGCGCTGCACCGATGGCCACACGGGGACCTCGGTTTCTGCCCCCATGGTGGCAGGCATCATCGCGCTGGCTTTAGAAGCAAAGTAAGTTCCCAGCACTTTCCCTTCTTTTCCTTTTTTTAAGTTTTTATTGTATAATGGTAAAATATGCATAACGTAAAATTTACCACGTTAGCCATTTTTAAGGGTACAGTTCACTAAATACACCCACACTGTTGGTAGCCATCACCGCCATCCATCTCCAGAACTTTTCCATCATCTCAGACTGAAACCCTGTCCCCGTGAAACAAAGTACCCCTGACTGGGGGGCTTAAGCAACTGACATTGATTTCTCACAGTTCTGGAGGCCCAAAGTTTAAGATCAAGGTGTTGACAGGGATGGTCTCTCCTGAGGCCTCGCTCCTTGGGTTATAAATGGCTGCCTTCTCCCTGTGTCCTCACCTGGTCTTCCCTCTGTGTGTGTTTCTAGATCCTCGTGTAAGGACACCAGTCACATTGGATTAGGGCTCACTTGGATGACTGCACTTAATTACTTGTTCAAAGAGCCTGTCTTCAACTACAGTCACATTCTGAGGTCCTGGGGGGAATGGAAGGGGGGTAGGACTTTAACATATGAATTGGATGGGGGCAAAATGTAGCCCATAACATTCCCCTTCCCCCCGCTTTCCTCCTACCTGCCAGCCCCTGACTACCACCATTCTATCTTCTGTCTCTATCACTTTGATGACTTTAGGTACCTCACAGAGATGGACTCACACACTCTTTGTTCTTCTGTGACTGGCTTCTTTCACGTAGCGTAATGTCCTCAAAGTTCCTCCGTGGCGTAGCGGGCGTCAGGATTTTGTTCCTTTTTTAAGGCCCTCGTTAATGGGCATGGAGTAGTTCCTACCCTTATCTTCCTTTTTAAAGCTCGCAGTCTCCTGCATTTTATAGGACCACAAGGAAGTCGGTGGGCTGAACCCCAGGCCAACCTCCCGTTCTGTGTCACACAGCGAAATCACACTTTGGGCCACTGCAGCTGCTCTTTATAAACTTTAGTTCATTACTTGGCAATATGGCAGTGATGTTTTATCTGTCTTGAGCCAAATAAAAGCTCTAGAGTTATCAGTATGTAGATGGGTCAGAAAGAAACAAGAGTTTACCACCAATGCAGTCATGCTATCCAAAAGCAAATGTTATTTGAGACATGAAAACTGGCTTGGTACAACCCAGACGTTTGAAGCAGCTATTTATGTAGTGAGATTTTAAATGACTCAAAAACCATGATTGAGTTGCTCAAATCCTTGTAATTATGTCTATTTGCATGTTGATTTGCACAAGACAAAAAGAACATAAAACTCAAATGCTATCAATTTAACAAAGGAACAGCTAAATATTTTCAATTTTGTTAGCTCCTGTGTCCTGGGGCTCTTTTATAAAACTCTAAATAATTAATTACTGGAAAGTTGCGTTCACATACTTAGCAATTCATTGTTTTATATTTTCTTCCATTTCTTATTGGAAACATGTGAGGAATTTTGCTAGTCGAAACTAACTAGCAAACAAACCTTGTTTTGTGCCATTAAACATGGCTGTGGACACGTGAAAACTCCAGTAGCCAGCTTTTCGTCGTTTGAGCTCATCCTGAGAAGTTTGACAGTGACAAATCAAAAGAACTTCCTGGAAAACAATGCCAGGTTAGAGCATTTAAACATACAGGACTGGATAAGGGAGAAGCCACAGGCCTAAGATTTGGGGACTGGGTAACTCTGCCTCGTGGCTCTGTTATTCCCGGTGGGAAGGGTCTTGGGGACAGAGGCAGGGCCTACACACAGCATGTGACAAGTGTGAGAACAGACCCTTCCATGTAGGAATTGTCCAAAGGTCATCCCACGGCTTGAGGCAATCTTGGGACTTCCTACCAATTCCTTCTTCATCGAAAAACATTTTTAACACCATTTCCTTGACGTGTTTTCCATACAAACTGTATTAGTGATTTGATTACCAGAGTCAAAAGTAAAATTAATTTCCTCATCATAAGATCGTTTTTCACATTGTGCCTTCCTGGACCCATCCTGTCATAAACTCTGAAACTCTAAAATTCCTGACGCCTCATGCTGAACTTCCAGGAGGGCGGGCTCCTGCTCGGTCACACAAGTGACAAGGGACACAGCCACATGTGCTCTGTCTGAACCCCAAAGCCTGTGCCTACTCCACCAGAGTGCAGGGTCTTGGGCCACTTGGGACCTCAGAATCTTCCTGTAACAAGGACGTTGGCTGTGGGCCCCCTGGAGGAGCAGTGATAAGGGGAGGAAAGCAGGTCAGCCTGTGCCTAGCAAAATGGACTAATGGACATGGTTGGGGCAAGGCAGCCAGGAGCCAGTAAGTGGCCAACAGCACAGTGACAAGAGCATGTTGGAGAAACCAGGGAAGCCCAGGGCTAGAGCCTGGAGTGTGTACCCCAAGACTCAAGCCACAGGGAAGCTCCTAGAAGGAAGATAGGCAAAGAGGGGATGATTGGTGGGGGTGTCAGATGGTGCAGCTGCTGTGAAAACTTGAGGCAGTTCCTCAAAAAATTAAACAGAATTGTCACATGCTCTAACAGTTATACACCCCAAAGATTTGAAAGCAGAGACTTGAAGAGATATTTGTACACCCATGTTCACAGCAGCATTATTCACAACAGCCAGAAGGTGGATGCACCCCAAGTGGCCATGAACCGATGATGAGCAAACGAAATGTGCTCCAGCCATACAATGGAATAGTCTTCAGCCTTCAAGAGTTAGGGAAGTCTGGACTTCCAGTAAGATGACAGAATAGACAGATGCTGTGCCAACTGCCTCCCAGGATCACACCAAAATTACAAATAATTTATACAATGTTCAACCTCGGAAGTCCCCTGAACACTCGATGAACAGAACCTCTAAATGAAGGACTTAAAGAGGAGGCCACATTGAATCTGGTAGGAGGGGCAGAGACGAGACAGGGCGAACCCCGTGAGGGACACCTCAGCGGTGGGGAGGCTTCTCCGGTTTGGGGAGAGACCCTCCAGACCCACACTGAGCTCACCAGCCCAGAGTTACTTTGCTGGGAAGAGGAGTTCTACGATAGCTGGAAGAAATTGGTGAGGACTCTCTTTGCTCAACGTGGTAAGGCTGAGGGCAGCTGGAGAACAGACTCACACAGACTCGCTCACTGGTGATATATCTAATACATCGAAGCAATCACAGAGCAACAGCCAGAATAAAGAAACAAAGAAACATGTCCCAAGTAAAAGATCAGAAGAAAACCTCTTTGAAATGGAACTAAATGAAACAGAGGTATTCAACCTTTCAGAGAGAGAGTTTAGAACACTGATAATAAGAATGTTTAAGGAACTTAGTCAGGACATAAAGAAGGCTAGAGAAATCATAAAAAACAACCAGTTAGAACTAAAGAATACAATAACTGAAATGAAGAACACACTCAAAGGAATCACCAGTAGATTAGATGAAGCAGAGGATCGGATCAGCGATTTAGAAGACAAAATAGCAGAAATCACCCAGTTGGAACAACAAAAAGAAAAAAGAATAAGAAACAATGAAAATACTTTAAGAGACCTGTGGGACAACATCAAACGCAACAACATTCGCATCATAAGAATACCAGAAGGAGAAGAGAAGAAGCAAGGGATCGAGAATGAAATAATGACTGAAAACTTCCCTACCCTGGTGCAGGAAATTGACATACAAGCCCAGGAAGTGCAGAGAGTTCCAAACAAGCTGAACCCAAACAGGTCCACACCAAGACACAGCATAGTTAAAATGGCAAAGGTAAAAGACAAACACAATCCTAAAACTAGCACAAGAAAGACAGCAGGTTACATACAAAGGAACTCCTATAAGACTAACAGCTGACTTTTCTACAGAAACTCCGCAGGCCAGAAGGGAGTGGCAGGAAATATTCAAAGTGATGCAAAATAAAGGCCTACAACGAAGATTGCTCTACCCAGCACGGCTATCACTTAAAATTGAAGGAAAGATAAAGAGCTTCTCAGAAAAGAATAAGCTTAAGGAATTCATTACCACCAAGCCAGCATTGCAGGAAATGTTAAAAGGGCTTTTGTAAACAGAAGAAAGGGGAAGACAAGCTAACCCAGGAAGACCAGAAATACAAATAACAAAAGGCAATACATACACACCTATCAATAATCACTTTAAATGTGAATGGATTAAATGTTCCAATCAAAAGACATAGAGTGGCTGAGTGGATAACAAAACAGGACCCATGCATATGCTGTTTACAAGAGACTCATTTCAGATCAAAAGACATACACAGACTGAAAGTAAAGGGATGGAATAAGATATTTCACGCAAATAGAAATAAGAAAAAATCTGGAGTAGCAATACTTATTTCAGACAAAATAGACTTTAAAATGAAGACTACAATAAAAGACAAAGAAGGACACTACATAATAATAAAGGGATCCATTCAACAAGAGGACATAACCCTAGTAAACATCTATGCACCCAACATAGGAGCCCCTAAATATATAAAACAGATTTTGACAGACATAAAGACAGAGATCAACAGTAACACTATCATAGTGGGGGACTTCAACACCCCGTTGTCACCAATGGACAGATCCTCCAGACAGAAAATCAACACAGAAACAGTGGCCTTAAATGATACTTCAGACCAGTTGGATTTAATCGATATTTTTAGAGCATTTCACCCCAAAGCAACAGAATATACATTCTTCTCAAGTGCACATGGAACATTTTCCAAGATAGGCCACATGTTAGGCCACAAAACAAGTCTCAATAAATTTAAGAAGATTGAAATCATATCAAGCATCTTCTCTGACCACAATGCTATGAAATTAGAAATCAATTACAAGAAGAAATCCAAAAAGCACACAAATACATGGAGGCTGAATAACATGCTACTAAACAGCGAGTGGGTCAAAGCTGAGATCAAGGAAGAAATCAAAAGCTATCTCAAGACAAACGACAATGAAAACACAACAACTCAAAATCCAATGGATGCAGCGAAAGCAGTCCTAAGAGGAAAATTCATAGCAATGCAGGCCTATCTAAAGAAATAAGAACAATCTCAAATCAACA